TTCTTTGCCATTTGGCCACCTCAAAACAAACTAGTGTTTTAAAAAGCAAGAGAGAAACGTTTAAATTACAAAACTGATAAAACAGAAATAGCTTAACCATATAGATCCTCACTTTAACATATGATCAGTTTGTCATGTGTTTGAAAATTAACTCACCTTGCATTTTATAAAAACCGGTCATCGTTATACCTCAATTTTAAAAATGTATTAAAAAAAAAACACACTCCACCAAAGAAGACATACGGGTGGCAGACAGGAACAAGAAAAGACACTTAGCATCACTAGACATTGGGAAAGTGCAAATTAAAATCACAATGAGATAATTGCTACATACTAAAGTGGCAAAATATTGAACAAACACGGTTCCAAGCGCTAGTGAGGATGCGAGGCCGTTGAAACCCTCGTACACTGCAGTGAGGAATGCAAAATGTACAGTCCCTTGCGGTGACAGTTTGGCCATTTCTTACAGAGTTAGACATAGGCTTATTGTATAAGAATCCCATTCCTAGGTATTTGCCCGGGAGAAATGAAGACATACGTCCACACAAGGACCTGTCAGTGAATGTTCATAGCTTTTTTAATAATTGCCCCAAGCTGAAAACAACCCCAGTGTCCTTCACCAGGATGAAAAGGCACACAAGTGATGGTGTGTCCATGCAGTGGAATACCTCTTAGCAATGAGGAGGGGTCAAGTACGGACATAGACAGTAGCATGGGTCAGTCTCACGAGCCAGGCCACGTACGGGGTGTTCCGTTTACCCCGGACAGCTGGGCCAAGGGTGTTGGAGAGGAGGAACCTCCTGTCCTCTTCGGGGTCCTCCTAGTTGGACTAAGAGTCAAATTGACGCGAGACAGATTAACAGGAGAAAATAGAATTCAGTGTATATGGGGAATTCACACACACATGGCGTATTCCAAAGACAGGCGAAGTGAGGTGTGTGTCCTCCCGGACTGAGGAGAAGTGGGTGCGGGTCCGAGGAGAAGTGGGTGCGGGTCCGGTACTTCAAAGGGAAGGAATGCGACTGAGGGCGGGATGATGACGAAGAGGAGTGAGTGTAAACACGCACACGTGTGCTGGGCCGCGCGGGGGGGCAGTGCCACAGCGAGGGCTCCGGTCGGGTAGGCCTGCTGGCCCCCCGTCCACCGAGCCTCGGGTAGGCCTGCTGGCCCCCCGTCCACCGAGCCTCGGGTAGGCCTGCTGGCCCCCCGTCCACCGAGCCTCGGGTAGGCCTGCTGGCCCCCCGTCCACCGAGCCTCGGGTAGGCCTGCTGGCCCCCCGTCCACCGAGCCTCGGGTAGGCCTGCTGGCCCCCCGTCCACCGAGCCTCGGGTAGGCCTGCTGGCCCCCGTCCACCGAGCCTCGGGTAGGCCTGCTGGCTCCCCCGTCCACCGAGCCTCGGGTAGGCCTGCTGGCTCCCCCGTCCACCGAGCCTCGGGTAGGCCTGCTGGCCCCCGTCCACCGAGCCTCGGGTAGGCCTGCTGGCTCCCCCGTCCTCGGGTAGGCCTGCTGGCTCCCCCGTCCACCGAGCCTCGGGTAGGCCTGCTGGCCCCCCGTCCACCGAGCCTCGGGTAGGCCTGCTGGCCCCCCTGTCCACCGAGCCTCGGGTAGGCCTGCTGGCCCCCGTCCACCGAGCTGGTTCGGGGGCAGTGGAGTTATCTGTGGGGGTAGCTCTCTTCCTGGAGCAGGTTGTCTCTCTAGATTCTTTGTAGACAGCTGTCGGGGAGGTAAAGAGCTTTCCCCGAATCTGCTGGGGAATGATTGCTTTTTCACTCAAAATAATCTTCATGTCAAAGTGGCCTGTTTGGGGGCGGCCTGCCCCTGGCCCCTGCGAGGGACACAGACCAGACCAGCGTTGCCAGGGCTGTGGGGGGCAGAGGCTGACGGCAGGAGGGCACAGGGAACGTGGTGGGGAGATAGCAGCCCCCGCACCCGGACATGGAGATGGGCAGACAGGGCACTCAGCCGTCTGAGCTCAGTCAAGCGTAGACCTGTGAAGGGTGAGTGTTACCGTATGTGCATTAGATTTCAGTTTCAGGAAACAGCGGTCAGTAGTTCTGCTCTTAGGACCACCACCAGTGCCTTGCTCAGGGGAGCAGGCACGCTGCTCTGCACCGGGCAGTTTATGGAGATGCAACAGTGGTACCTGATGTATGTCCCTGCGTGTGCATTAAAGGCATGGCCGGCCCGCACCCACATGAAGCCTCTTCACCCAGCGAAGGCCAGCGGGGCAGACGTTGCTGGAGCGTCATGAGCACTCCCTTCTCCCCTTGCCTCAGCAGTGATCACAGTGCCAGTATTTAGACCTAAACTCATGCTTCTGGAGACATCCTGCCAGTGTTCCTTGTTGCTTCTAGATTTTAAGAGTTTGTCCTTTAAATACGAACAGCAGCTAAGGTACGCGCTGAAGAGTCATACTAACAGGTGCCTTTTTAGGAGATACTCTTTTCTTTTCCCTAAAGCTTTCTACAGGGTTTTGAAAAGCAGAGAAGAGCCAACATATTGTGATCTTGATTACCCGTGTGAATATTGTTGGTGGAGGTGAGATGAAAGCCAGCTCTGCCTCATGGTTTCCTGTCGACTGTCAGGTCTCAATCAAGCTCTAATGAGCTTAGCTCTTCTTGGCACCAGCTCAGCAACAGAGTTGTGTTTTGTTGGTTACTTGTTTTCATCCTGCTGTAAATTTCAAAATGACAGCAAGGCCCTATTTTAAGGGAAGTGAGCATGCGGTGTCATTTCCAACCGGTTGTGAAATGCTTGCTTTTAGGGGTGCCTGCGTGGCTCAGTCACTTAAGCCACTGACTGTGATTTCCGCTCAGGTCATGATCTCAGGGTAGTGAGATTGAGATTGAGCCCCATGTTGTCAGGGCCCACGCTCAGCGGGGTGTCTGCTTGAGAGAGTCTCTCTCCCTCGCCCTCTGCCCCTTCCCCAACTTGTGCTCTCTATCGCGCTCAAAAATAAATAAAAATCGAAAAAAAGAGAGGGGCCCTGGGTGGCTCAGATGGTTAAGCGTCTGCCTTCGGCTCGGGTCATGATCCCAGGGTCCTGGGATCGAGTCCCGCATCGGGCTCCCTGCTCCTTGGGAGCCTGCTTCTCCCTCTGCTTCTCTCTCTCTCTCTCTCTCTCTCTCTCCTCCTCTGTCGCTCATGAATAAATAAATAAAATCTTTAAAAAAAAAAAAAAAGAGAAAGAAATGCTTGCTTTTGCCTTGCTAAGAAAGGGGCTGCTGAAGGACAGAGTTGAAAGGTCTATGTGTTGGTGAGGAGTAGCAGCCTGGCCACACCCCAGGCCAGAGCAACAGCTGACGTGGGCCCCCAGGGCTATCCAGCACGCCTGCTGGAGAAGGCTGCCCAGACCACTTCACTCCCGGGGGTCCCTGCTGTTCCCAGAGGAGCGTGGTTCTCTCTGGCCTCAGGGACAGCCCTTTTTGAAGTGGCCAGAACCCCTTATCCCCCATTGCCCATCTCCCTTTGGGACCCCTGTGTTCTGTCCCTCTGTGAGGTCTTCCCTACCACTACCCCCTTCACCTGGTTAGCTCAGGATAGGAGAAACTAGGGTAGTTTGAACTGTTCATAAGTCGGAGTTAGCGGGCTGTGCCGCTGGCCCCGCAGCCTACCTGGGGGAGAGAGGACTGTCCCCTTCTCTGTGGAAGTGGGAACTAGTCCTCCCTGTTCTCCAGGAGCTTCCCAACTGAGCCCAAACAGAGATGAAATAGGAGAGTGATTAGCCAGGCAGAGACCTTTGGAAATGGTAAAACTGGTAAAAGTTGACTGAGATTTTTGAAGACGGGAAGAAAAGGTTGAAATAGAACAGATCATTTTGCTGCCACATTTCCTCCAGTGCTCCAGCGTCAGCCGCAGGCTCTTCTTTCAAGTCAACTGCTGAAAGAGTGAAACATATTAAACACTTTGATTCTCACTCCAAATTAGCCACTAATATTTTGTCAATTATTCTTTATATATTTGATAAGTTAGTCTCTTTTCACATGTGAGAGAAAGTAGTCAAAACTCACCATAACCCTCGTCAAAGCAGGTAAGAGTCTGAGCTTTGCCGTCAAGACCGTCCTACCTGGAGCCATTTGAACCCGTGCTGCTGCAGGATCCGGGGACTGATGTCATTCTCCAAGCCTTGCTCTTCTCCTCTTAAGAGGGGGACAGTTAGTCCTACTCATTAGGGCAGGGCAGTATTTGGAGGTGTAAAACACCCACTGTGGTGCCTGGCACACACTGGGTGCTCAGTAAGTTGGAAATAGTATTTATTGCTCTAATCGGGAAATAATAACCCAGCATGGGATGACATTTAAGCGGAAGGCACCTGAAACCTGTTTATACCAATGATGATCAAAAGGTCTTTCGCCAATTCTATAATATTAATCATAGGATCATTTTAGGGACGCCCGGATGGCTCCGTTCCTTCGGCTCGGGTCATGATCCCGGGGTCCTGGATCAAGTCCCGCATTGGGCTCCCTGCTCGACAGGGAGCCTGCTTCTCCCTCTGCCTGTAGCTCCCCCTGCTTGTGCCCTCTCTCTCTCTCTCTCTCTCTCTGGCAAATAAATAAATAGATAAAATCATTTAAATCTGAGTTACTGAATTCTTTTTCTTTCTTTTTTTCTTTTTCTTAAGTCTCTTTGGTCAGACTTCACTTGCTCTGGGTAGCTGTCCCTGACTCCTCAGTTTGCACGAGATGCCCTTCTGGGTACCCTCAGCCCTTCACTTCCCTCTGTCAGAGCCCTTCCTGTGCTGGTCTGTCTCCTTCCCTGACCCACGGGTCAGAGCGTGGACACTGGCCATGTGGTTATTGAGAAGGTCCACATTTTAATGTTGCTGCTAGTAATAAAAATGGGGAACTTGTCACCAACAATGCAGGATGCCTTTCGAGTGGGAGAGGGGATGAACTCCCAGGAGCCCAGTTAGCACGGAGGCTCTTTGTGCAGCCGTGAGGGTTCGGCTGCCCCACTCCCAGGAGGGGCCCCCAGCCTCACGGTGTGGTTCTGTCTCCTAGGTTGGGAACTACAAGCGGACCGTGAAGCGGATAGACGATGGCCACCGTCTGTGCAGCGACCTCATGAACTGCCTGCACGAACGGGCGCGCATTGAGAAGGCGTACGCACAGCAGCTCACCGAGTGGGCACGGCGCTGGAGGCAGCTCGTGGAGAAGGGTAGGGGGCCGCCTGGGCGCTCCAGGCAGATCTCACAAGATTAGCACAGGAGTGCATCTTCAGTTCTGGAGGGCTGTGCTTCATAGTGGGGAGCAGTAGGGAGCCGTCACCCAGCAGCCCGGGCTGTTGTGGGCTTTCTTCCCTTTTCTCTGTGGCACGGGGCTTCCCTGCAGACAGTGCCAGTCTCCCGCCACAGCCCTTGTCGTCCATAGGATGTGCTATGCTTGCCAGTCTAACTCAGAACAGCTCCTGCAGGGCCCAGATCTGAGTAAAGCGCCTGTCACATCAGAGGCCTTGTGGCTCTACACTGTGGGCTCCAGCACGGAGAGTTGTTGATCTGTAAGCTTGGCTGTGTAGCACATCAGGCAAGACTAGATGGTGACATGTGGCAGGCTTTCTAATTTCTAATTTTAACAGGAATGACTAGAGGTGTTACATGGTGCAGGTTTTGCTCCCGCTCCCTCCCTAGCAAAACACTCAGAAGATTCAGGAGTTTAGTAAGAGAATGCTGCTATGGATATGGATTGTGCTCAGAATGCACTTCCCAGCAGTAGAGGGAGAGCTGGATGGATTACGGGGTTTCCTGGGACAGAAGCCAGATAGTGGGACTTTCTCAGGGTGTGCTGTGGGCCAGGCTCTTCTACCATGATGGCTGACCTCAGAAGATGGGGAGGCCAGGCCACTGGCTGAGTGGTCCTGGACAGGCAGGGCCCCATGCAGCTGCAGCTGGGTCTGGACCAGCTATTCATCTTTCCCCTGTTGCTGAAACAAGTCATTTGTGGGGCTTAGCACGGTGCCTTGGTTCAGAGTAGGTGTCAGGGAGCGAGGTGGCCATGCACGAGTGAGGAGTAGCCAGGGAAGGGGCAGCTCCTTCAGGAAACCGTAACTGTTGTTTTATTTCCACCTCTTAGGATCTAGCTGTCAGCGCTGTCCCTTGTGTTTATTCAGAACTTGAGGTTCGCAAAGCACCCTTGCCCCCGCTTACCTTGTGGATCCCGCCACCGTGTTCAGACCAAGACTGGAGAGGGAGCTGCTCATTTTGTAGACACAAGGGATTCGAAGTTCGGAAGGGCTCACCCTCCACGGTTATGCCCCTTCCAGCACCTCTCTGTGTCATTACCCAGCTCAAACAGTGACTGTCACCGGGGAGAGCCTTGAGGACAGGACCTGGATCTTCCCATTTTCATCCTCAGATTCTGTCATAGCCTCTTCCTCCCTTACCTGATGCCATGCTACCCCACACCCTCAACAAAATGACAGGCCGGATTACGAGCTTCCTTAGCAGTGTGCGAGGTGACCACTATCTAGAGATTTCCATCTGGCCGGAGCAGTTTCCTGCCTCCAACTGTCCTTCCTCTCTGCAAGACAGGGCTTCCATTCTGCTGAGAGACAGTCCTCCGTTTGACAGGCAGCTAGCTCTTGAGTTTCTGCTCTGAGCCAGGGCTCCATTCTCCTTGTGGGGGTGAATAAGAGAGGTGCTTCCCACTGCAGGGAAGGGAGAGGGTGGGCTGCAAGTGCACCCCAGCAGCTGGGGGGAGAGGGTCAGCTCACTTCAGAGGCTCCTCCTCCTCCCGCCAGCCTTAAGCAAATTAAAACTTCCAAGATGCAGAAATTGAAGTCTTTAAAAGCTTAGTGATTTTAAAAAAAGGAAATGTGTGTAATCCCCTAATTTCCCTAACAAAAGAATGGTTGAGTAGATCCAGCTTCAGTTCCTTATTCTTCATCCCGGACTGAAAGAACTGAAAGGAAACCTCCCAGCCCCCGCAGCCAGGCTGCTGGCCTGGAATCCCGTCCTCACAGCTGAGAGAGGTTAATGGACGAAATCCCCACGCAGGGCCTGTCTGGGAGCCCTGGTGCCCAGTAACCACCAGCTTCTCTCCTGTGCCAGGGCCCCAGTATGGAACGCTGGAGAAGGCCTGGACGGCAGTCACGTCCGAGGCGGAGAAGGTGAGCGAGCTGCACCTGGAGGTGAAGGCCTCGCTGATGAGTGAGGACTTCGAGAAGATCAAAAACTGGCAGAAGGAAGTCTTTCACAAGCAGATGATGGGAGGCTTCAAGGAGACCAAAGAAGCCGAGGATGGCTTTCGGAAGGCACAGAAGCCCTGGGCCAAGAAGCTGAAAGAGGTGCCTCCCTCCTGCAGGCTGCTCCTGCGCAGCCTGACCCCGTGCTTCTTGGCTAGACCCCCTCTGACTGCTTTAGGCCCAGGATGCTAACAGCAGTAGGGACGAGGCCCCCTCTTTGGGTTAGCAGAAGGGATTAATTTAGAAGTTTTCTTTCTTTTGTATGTGGTTTTCTTTGAAATTTGCAAATAATACTGATACCGGTTTTTCTGAAAGTAGCCAAAGCCACTGAGTCTCCTTTGGCCTTGGCTAGCTGGAGGCTGTCCTACACGGACCCCACGCCCACAAGCAGACCCCCCACCACCGCAGCTTGGCCAGCCCCTTCCCTCAGGGGCCCACTTGCTGCTTCATTCCGTCTCCACCGGCTGGCTTTTCTCAGGAGCTGCACCACCTTCCTCCTCCCCAGAATCTCCCAGAACAGACTTCCGTCTTCGGGTTGTAATGACGGTCTTTCCTTCTTTTTTCCGTGTCTTGGCTTTTGCCACGTTTCTTTTCTCTTCTTGTCCGTGGCCTCATTGATAATGACTGCCCCCACCGCCTGACGAGGCCATGGTTACAAAACTCAATCTTTCCCCTCTAGAATGAACTCTGTGACTTTGGCTCAAGGACGGAAGCCTCTGAGATGAAGAGACAGTGGCGTGTGTGTGCACTCGCGTGCGCGTACATGTTCTCCCTGAGTTAGCCGGGGAGCCTGTGGCCTGTTGCTCTGGCTGCCAACATTACCCCTCCTGGTAGCTCTGGAACTTTGGAATGTTCTTCGTATTCGCTGTTCCAGCTGCCTGGCATGCTCGTCCCGCAGACAGCCACACCTCCCGTACAGTCTTGCTCCCTGTGATCTTGGCTGGCTCTCTTCAGCCGCTCTGGATGCGGTTCGACCCGCAGCGCCCCAGCGCAGCGCCCTGCCTCTCTTCCCTGCTTTCCTCCCCTCCTTGGCACTCATCGCCCTCTTGTTCACTCTGCTCTTCAGCTATCTTTTGTAGTTGCCTCCCTGGCTAGACAGAGAGCTCCCCGAAAGCCAGGCACCCCTGGTGCCTAGGACAGCGCCCGGCCCAAAGCAGGCACTCCGTCCCTTTCTGCTCAATGAACTCCTCCCTCGTAGCTAGTTGTAATTACAGCACGCACAGCTTTGTACCTGCTCTTCCCCTCTCCTCTGGGGGGTGAAAGCAGAGTCTGTGAAGCCTCTGGTCAGGATTTTGAACTTGCAGACACGTGGCACTTAGGAGCGCATTCTCCCTGTAGGTAGAAGCAGCAAAGAAGGCCTACCACGCGGCTTGCAAAGAGGAGAAGTTGGCCACATCACGAGAAACCAATAGCAAAGCGGACCCATCCCTCAACCCTGAGCAGCTTAAGAAGTTGCAAGACAAAGTAGAAAAATGCAAGCAAGACGTTCTGAAGGTAACTGGGGCACGTCTTTCTCCGTGTTGAATGCACGTGCCTCACCCGGCCACCTCTCTGGCCCACAGTGATCCTTTGTTGCCGCTTGATGGGACGGATGGAAAGATGGCACACCAGTAAGACCTGTTCCTGTGCTCAGGAGGGCCCCGCAGTGAGCGCTCACCTTACTACGCCCCATCCGTGTGCCCTGCTCGGGACGGGGGTAGACCCGAGTGCTGATGCCTCTGCTCAGGGAAGGGTGGCTGGGTGGCCGGGGCTGGTGCGCGAGAGGTGGGAGGGAGCAGCTTGTGCAGGCCAAGGAGGTGTGGATGCCAGTGTCCGGCAGCTGATCCATGAGCCGGCACAGAGGGGAGGGGCATGATGACCAAATCACCGGTGGTCTTGCAAGGCCAGTGAAGTAAGGGGCTAGGACACTGCTAACAACGGGCCGCTGAAAGAAGGTTCCAGAGCTCAGGGAGGGCAGAGGTTTAGAGGAGGGCCACAGCTGAGAAGGATTGCTCTGGTGGTGAGTGGAGGGAGTCCCCAGAAGGGGTGGTGGAGTGCCCAGGAGGCCCAGCACACTGTGGCCGTGGGGAGTTTGGAGGGGTGGGGGGAGCAGGTGGGTTGCCCCAGCAGCCCCAGCAGTGAAGGCCCCTGGGAGGTGTGGGTGGAGGCTGCGGGCGCTCAGCCAGGAGACAGTGAACAGGCCCTGTGTGCAGCAGGCCCAGTGCAGCGCCCTGGGTGCCGTGGGGAAGGCATCCTACTGCCATGGATTAGAGAGATCGTATGGGAAGATGGTATAAGCTGTTGGGCTCCATGGATGCAGGTAGTGATTCTGCCTGGGAGGCCTGAGTCACGGGATGCAAACACTAGACAGATTCAGATAATTTAAAAGTTCCCAGTAAGTGAGAGCTGACGCGAGTAAGGCCCAGGCCACTGCCTCTGTGGCGTGGTGAGGGGTGCGGGGCTGGGGCTGCGGCTGTCAGGAGCCCTCCTGCGGCAGTGCTGAGGAGATGCCTCCTGCGTTTGGAGAGAGAGAGGCAGCCGATTGAGAAGGGCTGCGTCCTGGGAACAGGATGTGAGGCCAGAAAGGAAAGAGGAGCCCCGAGCTGCTCTGTTAACACCCACTGCCTTCTAAGGCTTGGATGGGCACCACTGAGCCCAGGGAATTAGGTGGTGGCATCTCTGTTGTGTGACGCAGGAAACTTAAGTTCAGAGAGGCTCAGTCTTGTGCCACCTGGTAGTGTGAGTGGGGAGGGCCCGTATCCTCTCTCCCTGCCCCTCACCACTCTGTCATCAGCATAGTGACGGAGGGCGGTTGTTGGCAATGTCTGCAGAAGAGTTCATCGCTCAGAGTGAGAACCAGAGTCCCTTGGGGAGCAGCCCCCACTCCCCACACCTGGCTCTGGGACTGGGGCTAGGGCCAGGCGGGTAGGGTTTAGAGCAGCCGGCTGCCTCCACTGTGGGATCAGGTGAGGAGCCTGGGGCTACGTGCTGAATGGGGAGGGCCCCCCCGGGCTCAAGGAACAGAAGGCTGGGGGGCTGCTGAGGGTTGCCTTTGCCAGGTGTCCAGGACGGTGCCTGGAGGAGAGACGAGGCATCTCTGCTCCTGGGTGTGGGGCTACGTAGCGGTGGGGGTGAGGGGCATAGACACATACCTTTCGTGTTTCACAGTCACTCACAACAGAGTCCACCAAATTGATCCAGGGTCCGAGGTCAGACATAAGGCACCTGTCAGGATGACTGCACCACTTTGTAGAGGTTTCCTTCCTGACTCTGCGGTCTAGCCAGTGACCTTGGGGCATGATGGTCCTTGTAGGCCAAGAGCTGACCCGAACAGGAGGGCAACCCCACCCTCTACTCCCCTTTTTGAAGCAGTTTCTAAAAGCCAGCACTGACTGGCTACACACTCCCTTCTGTGTTTCCTTCAGGCAGTGATTGCGTCTTGCAGTATCCATCAGAAAGGAACTTCTCGTGTTCAGTGCTAAATGTCCAGTCCACAGGAGAGCGAAGGCTGTCTCTCATTTCATTCCATGGATGTTTATTAGGAACTTTCTATGTGCTCTGTGCTAGGAATTCCCCAGCAGCGATGATCCTGCTCTGTATCTGGCTTTGCTGGGGCAGGGCTGTTTGTGAGCACAGGCCAGGGACCTGGGGAGCATCTTGTTGCCACTGGGCACCTCGGGAGCTCTGGGGAGGTTGCTGTGTTGTTGAAGAATCCCAGAGAAGTGGTTGCTCTCCAGGCGCTGGGTGTTTAAACCATAGCTGCATGTCTTGAGGCCTCTGAGCTCGTGATCTCACGCAGGGCAGTTGATGATGATGATGAGTAATCAGAGGAGTTGGTGGCACTCTGTTCCTGCTGGGAATGTCCAAATTCTGGAAAGGATAACCTTTTCCTGGGGTCACAGAGGACCCAAGTCCAGCCAGGAGGCTCAGAAGCAGAACAAGGAACAGCATATAAGGGGGGGCCGGGGAGGGGAGGCTCCAGGCAGTGGATGGGGCCTGTTAGGGAAGTCTTTGAGAAGAGGGGTCTCTGGAGCATAAAGGGGAGTTTTCCAGGGCATGAGTCACAGAAGGGTGTCTGGGAGGGAAGCAGTGTAGACAGTAGATTTAGAGTCTCGAGGGAGGGCAGAGCTGCTTCAGAGATGTGGCAGGGGCTGGGGTCCCGAGACATGGCCTTGATCCTGAAGGTGGGAGGCTCAGTCCTTCCTCAGAAGTCCACAGTGTCGTCAGAGACAGAAAAGCGAAGTTCCTGGGTGGCCAGCCCATCTGCCCATGATCCCCCCATTTCTCAGGGTCTCCATAGCGGGAAGGCTTACAGTAAATATGGCCCTAGCCCTGCCATCCCTCATTTTGCCCCAGGAGGCTCCTATGGTCCTACCCTATTTCCTTTCTGGTAAAACCCCTTCTAGAGGCCAGTCTCGGGCTGTATGGCTGTGTTAGGGGGGTGTGGTGGGCTGGAAGACAGGAGGACAAGGACTTTTTTGAATGCCTACTTCGTGCAGCTTGGTGCCCTTTGTGTGTCACCTCATTTAAACACCAGACTGCTGTGGAGTACAGGTATGGCACGGTAGGCTCAGTTCCAGACCACCGCAAGAAAGTGAGTCAAATGACTGTTTTTGGTTTCCTGGTGCACATAAAAGCTATGTTTACGCAATAGTGTAATTTATTAAGTGTTCAGTAGCATTACATCTAAAAACAATATACACACCTTAATTAAAAAATACTTTATGGGGCGCCCGGGTGGCTCAGTCGGTTAAGCTGCTGCCTTCGGCTCGGGTCATGATCCTGGGGTCCTGGAATCGAGCCCCACGTCCAGCTCCCTGCTCAGCGGAGAGCCTGCTTCTCCCTCTCCCTCTGCCTACTTGTGCGCTCTATTCCTCTGTCAAATAAATAAAATCTTTAAAAAAATAAAAAATACTTTATTGCTAAAAAATGCCAACCATCATCTGAGATTTCAGCAACTCATAATCACTAATCACAGATCACTGTGACAAATGTAATAATAATGATGAAAACTTGAGATACTGAATTACCAAAACATGACCAGAGACACGAAGCGAGCAAGTGCTGTTGGAGAAATGGCACTGGGAGACGTGCTCCACACAGGGTTGCCCCAGACCTTCAGTCTGTAAAACACACAATACTGTGGAGCGCCATGAAACAGGGTTTGCCTGTACCTCGTTTTCTGCGGAGGGAAGTGAGGCTGTCAGAAACTCAGGTGCCAGGACTCGCCCCCCAGGTCTGTCTGGCGCTCAGACCCCGAGATCTTGCCCAGAGGTATCTGCTGAGTCACCACTGCTGAGGGCAAGGTCCAAGGCTCGAGGGGGACCCAGCACAGCCCTTCCCCAGGGAGAGGACACGGATGGATGCCGTGGGCAGGAGTCAGCGGGGCAGTGGTGGTCGAGACCATGCACCCTGGGCTCCAGAGTGGACCGCCCCTTCCCCAGCATCTGCCTGTTTGGGCCTGGCACTAGCTGAGAGGCCTGGCAGGTGCCAGGAGTGTGGTTTGCAGTTCAGAAGTGGAGGGGCTGGGACTTGAATTTGAAAGTGGAGTCTATCAGACTCCAGTGCTTGTGCTCTTTGTGCTTTGGAATCTGTGGAGGCCTGAGAAGCTTTCCCCAAGGATGACTTCAGTGGTGGAGGTGGCATCCGAGATGAGCCTGGAGGGCCTGGCCATGTGGGGTGGGAAGGGCGTCTTTCTGAGTATTTTCCCAGCCCACATTGGGTGGGAGCACCCTTCGGGAGTAGAGGCAGAGCGTGAGTCTTCTGAGCTGGAACCTGAGGAAGTAGAACCTTGGATATCAGTCACAGCTCCTCACCCTGCTTGTAAAGTCACTCAAAAGTGTCTGCTTTAATATTGTCACCTGGTAAGTGGGTCTAGATGCTGATGAATTCAGAAGTGGCAGAAAGGGACAAAGGCAGGTGAGGAACAGGGTGGTGTAGAGCCTGGCTCGCTTTCTCTCCGTCAGAGGGAACCAGGGTGAATGGAAATGAACCTTCATCCTTTTGTGCCCGGATTCCCTTGTAGACCAGAGAGAAGTACGAGAAGTCCCTGAAGGAGCTTGACCAGGGCACGCCGCAGTACATGGAGAACATGGAGCAGGTGTTTGAGCAGTGCCAGCACTTTGAGGAAAAGCGTCTGCGCTTCTTCCGGGAAGTTCTGCTGGAGGTTCAGAAGCACCTAGACCTGTCAAACGTGGCCAGGTGAGTTTCCATTTAGAGAAAGAGCACATCACCATGAGGTCAGTGGAAAGTTGCTTCTGAATAAAGCTCAATCACTGCTCTCCAGACTTGGGATGGCAGTGTTTGTCAGAAGATCTTCTCTCTGGGGGCTCCGGCATGGCTTAGTCGGTTAAGCGTCTGACTCTTGGTTTCAGCTCAGGTCACGATCTCAGGGTCATGAGATCAAGCGCTGTGTCAGGCTCCGTGCTCAGTGGGGAGTCCACTTGGGATTCTCTTTCTCTCCCTCTACCCCCCACCACTCTCTCTCTCAAAGAAATAAATAAATCTTTAAAAAAAAAAAAAAGTTAAGGGCGCCTGGGTGGCTTAGTTGTTAAGCATCTGCCTTTGGCTCAGGTCGTGATCCCAGGATCCTGGGATCGAGTCCCGCATCGGTCTCCCTGCTCGGCAGGAAGCCTGCTTCTCCCTCTCCTACTCCCCCTGCTTGTGTTCCTTGTCTTGCTCTCTCTCTGTCAAATAAATAAATAAAATCTTAAAAAAAAAAAAGTTAAGTCCCTGGTTAAGTCCTCCTGCCCAGGGAGGGACCTTGTGCTGAGCCTGTCTGCAGCTGTGTGGTCGGCCCGTGCCAGGCACTCCACTGCCTGGGACGGCTGATTGCAGGCCTGAGCTGCGCGGCCTCGGGCCACGCAGTAAGGTGGGCCATGCACTGCCGGCTCTGTGTACAACAGTCTAGGGCCTGGTAGGAAGGGAGGGCCACAGTTGGTGTATTTGAAATGAAGCCAGGAACCCCTCTCTGTGTTTCCTGGGCTGGCTGGTGTGCCCTGTCCTCAAGGCTGTCTTACTTCGAAGCCCTTCCAGAGGCCCCTCCTTTTAGAGCAGCTACCTGCTCAGCCCTTGACTACTCAGGGGTCCCTTGGACAGCACAGGCCCTCGGACTCAGCTCTGGATCATGACGTGGAGGCTGTGGTATTTCTCTTGCATTTGCCTTGTCTGTGGTCCTGTGATGCCTTCATAGGGGCAGAGGTCTGGGCTAACCATGGATGTGGACTTCAGTCATCCATATCGCAGAGCCATGTAGAAAGGACTCAACGAGCTAAGGCTTCTCGTTCGTAGGAAATTACATTCTCTTTGTCTCCTCCTGCACAGTACAGTGGGAAGGAACAATTATCGTACAGCCACTCTGCCAGGATTTAATTAATGCCTCTGACAGTCTATAAAGTGGGTGGCATTCCCCGTCTTACTGATGGGGAAACTGAGGCCGGTTGTAGTGGATTGACTTGCCTGGGGCTACACGGCTGGCTGGGGTGGGGTGTACACGCCCGTCCTTGGCTGGCGTGCCTGGCCTGAGTCCTCAAAGCCACAGCCTGGGGAGTAGACAGCAGGGTAGTGTCCGAGGATTGCCAGAACAAAGTACCAAAACCCAGTGGCTTATAACAGCAGAAATGTATTCTCTCTCTCAGTTTGGAGGTGGGAAATGGGAAATCAAGGTGTTGGCAGGGCCGTGTTCCCTCTGAGGCTCTCGGGGAGGATCACTGCAGCTGTCTGTCTGTCTGCTGTCAATCCTTGGCTTGTAGACACGTTGCCCCCGTCACACGGCCACCTTCTCTCTCTCTCTTCACCTGCCTTTCCCTCCGAGTGAACAGTGCCCATCCCTGCCTTCCAGGAGAGTCATGCATCTCCTCTGTCTGATTTAGCTACAAGAACATTTACCGTGACCTGGAGCAGAGCATCAAAGCTGCCGACGCGGTGGAGGACCTGAGGTGGTTCAGAGCCAACCATGGGCCAGGCATGTCCATGAACTGGCCACAGTTTGAGGTAAGAGGAGGCTGTGCCCGTGACCCCCTGGGCCCACAGGATTGACACATATGCTGTCTTTTTCCTTCCAACTCGGTGTTGGCCTTTGTCCTGTTCACGAGGCAGCCTGTAAGCATGGCTACTCCGGGATCCAGGTCGCTGTTGAGGGTCCCAAGGGCACTCCTGAAGGGCCCTCTGAATCTCAGTGAAGGTGCGATTATGTTCTTTCTTGTTAAGGACTTGGATGGTCTCCTGTTGACCATCGACGTTCCCTTCTCAGGGTGAGTCCCAGGAGCCGATGGTTCCTTGCCGCAGCCTGCAGGGTGGCTGCGAAGCGGGCTGCCACAGGGCACCCCGGGCCTGGCGGGCCTTGGGTCCGGGGCGGGGGGGCGGGTTATGTGTACCTCTTACCCTTCACACGAAGGACTTTTCCTTGTTTCAGGCAGTACATTCAGCCAATTTTGGTTCAGGATTAACTTTTCTCTTTTCCTGATTTCTTGGGCCTGAGCCTTCCAGTATCTTCACATGCAAAATGTGAGGGTCTGGGGATCTCGGGTCCCTTCCAGCCCCCTCTGCCTCTCCCACCCCACCAGGTCCTGCCACCTGGTTCTCTGAGGGCAGGGGTCTCCCCACCTTGTGGTAAAGCATGGGGCTAGGAAAGGCTCGGCAGCTGCCTTCCAGGGAGGGTGACTTGTGCGGGGGCCAAGGGGCTTCCCGTGCCTCGGTGGCCGCCAGGGCACTGGCTGCACTCATGTCTGATCTCACCGCTTGGCAGCTGTGGGACACTGAGCAGGTCGTTTCCGTGTATAAAATGGAGGTGACAACAGCACCCATGTCCTCCAGCAGCTGGGGGTCCATGCTGGCCATTAGCCCCATCTTAGTTCACAGTTGTGTCCGTCCTCACCATGTGCCTCTGTCTTCTGGAGCTTCTCAAGAAAGCTGCTCCGATGGCAGCGTAGGTCCCTGCAGCTGAGCACGCCCCCTGCTCAGCAGATGTCTTTAGGACATCTGCTCCCAACAGGACTGTGCCCCTTCCATGGGGGCGCTGGGACAAAGTAGTGGAAGTGTCCCAGAGGGGAGAGCACAGAGCCGCCCCCGCCCCCAGCAATGGTGCCCTGGAGGAAGTGAGTTGGTGTGTCCTGCGCACAGGATTTCACCCGGCACGTGGTGTGTGCTGCTCCGGAGGGCCTCAGGAAGCCACCTGCAAAACGCGCCCCCTGCCCCCCCGCCCCCAGGCCCTTAGGGTTGTCCACCAATACCCAGAGAATGGAATGGTCTGGGAAGGAAGACCTGACAGGCTGTCTCACTGGGATGGGCATCCCAGCCAGAGCCCATCATGGCCCTTCTCTCGTGGATCCTGCAGGCTGGAAAGCAGCACCCACATGTGGCCCGTGCTTAGGGTTCTTAGAGGATCATGCTCGACTTTCTCTAATAAAATTATTTGTTTTTATTTTCCATGCTGCAGGATGAAGTAAGTTCCCATTTTCTGGCTAATGTATAATCCCAAACCTCCTGCAGTGTGTGTCCGGCCCGCATGGGTCTGTGTGTTTGGGGGCGAGTCCACAGCGTGGTTCTGACACCGCAGGCCAGCGAAAGAACCGGGGCGGCCATGCTGCCCTGCTGTTCCTTGTCCACACTAACAGCCAGCCCCTCCTTCCCAGGCTGGCCAGGGCTAGATCACATGGGCCCTGGGGTGCCGCCTAGTCAGGACAGGTTTATATTCACACAGTCTTTCTGAGTCAATTTATGTCAGTTGAGAAAACAATTAATAAAGGTGACCAGGGTCTGGAATCAGGGGCCCAGGTCTGCCACCAACTCTGGGCAAGTCACCTTTTTCTTTCTGGGCCTCAGTTTTCTTGTCTCACAAGTTGGCAGGTTAGACTTGATGTTTCTAAGATGGCTTTAACCCGGGCCAAGCTGTGGACTCAGTCACACCAAGGGTTAATTCAGTTAAGGTTGTTTGATGAAGGGTGGGGTCGGGAGGGAGAATTCATTAACCATGTGCATGCACGCACACACCTTTCTGGGAGATGATATCATAGCCCCTTCTTTCTTTAACCCACTTCCACTGTTTCTCAGTGCAGTCGATAAAAGCTGTTAACATGCTGGGAACCTGGCGAACCTTTGGGGAGGTCAGCGCTTTACTTTGCTCTGTTAGTCCCGCAGCCAGTGCTGCCAGTGAGGGCCCTGATCCCTGGAGACCCGCATGGTGGGCCAGCTTCCCTGTGCCCCCGGTCATGTGACACCCTGCCCCTGTCGTGTGTGCACCCCATGGTGCGGTCCCCATGGCGCAGGCTTGGTCAGGCCCTGCGGCCTGCTCTCCTGCCCTCCTGCCCCGCCGGAGCCAGAAACAGTTCAGGGAAAGCTGGGAACTAGCTCCTGTCTACTTTGGAAGGCTCAGGGACAGCTGGTGAGGCCTCTGGCGACCCCTGCTGGCCGGAGGGGGCTGGAGGCTTAGTGCCCTGGGGGCCCTGGGCAGGATGGGGCAGTTCCTGGACGTCAGAGTGCTGGCTGCTCAGACTCTCCTTCTGGAGACTGGGCCTCCACAGGCTGGAGTCCCCGCCTGTGGCAGTGAGGAGGGGGTGGCAGGAGGGTGCCAGGAACCTGAGGTCGGCTGGGGAGCAAGGCAAACTGAGGCCATGGGGCTACATGTCACAAACTGTGCAGGGTAGGCCAGTGGCCGGCTGCCCGGTGTGTTAGACTGATGTGGCCTCAAACAAACGAACTTCCCGTTTCTCTCCCTCGGTGCCTGCTGCCCAGGAATGGTCTGCAGACCTGAATCGAACCCTCAGCCGGAGAGAGAAGAAGAAGGCCGCTGACGGCGTCACCCTGACAGGCATCAACCAGACAGGTGACCAGGCTCTGCAGAACAAGCCCAGCAGGTGGGTGCTGGGGCAGCTTCCGTCCCCTGGGATAGGTCCCCTGGGTCCTCTGTGTGGGCCGGACGCTCCTAGCCCGGATACCTGGGAGACTCCCCAGTGAGGCCTTGCAGCGAACCCCACAGGTGTCTTTCCAGATGATGCTCCTTGGGCGTCCAAATTCCGCTGGGCAGTGGCCTCTCTGGGGAGGATCACTTAATACTAGAGCTGTGGAAAGATCCAGAGAAGGGAGCCTTTGCCACAAACATGCTTCGGGCCCCAAGTGAGGGCAAGAGGTGATGTCAGGTACTGGTCATTGTGTGTCCCCAGTAGTGCACACCGGCAGGCGAAGGTCACTGTCAATGCCGTCCTTTGGGCAGGTTCAGGTATCCCGGCCAGGTTTGTACTTCCCTGTCCTGTATGCACGTGCCTGATTTGGGAGGTGGGGCGGGGGGAGCAGTGCAGGAGATCAAAGTGTCCCCCCTTTCAAGTCACCTCTTTGATGAGAATGTTGGTTATTTTACTTCTGACTTAATTGTTTGCTGAAACCAAGTTTGGGTAGAAAAAGTGGCACTGAGGTCATTAGACCCTTCTGGAAAGTGTGTGCTAGACGAGGCCTGCCCCCGGGCTCCGAATCCCAGCAGATAGGTGTTACTCTCCTCTGCAGAGCTGAGACTGCCAACTGACCCCCTGGAAGCACTTCAGCCCCGCAGGCTCTGGGCCCAGAGGCTTCCATGCCACAAGTAATAATAACAGTTCATGGTTGCCGTTTCCTAGGAGGGTCAGCGCAGGTTCTGGAGGCCTCTCTGGAGCCCCGGGCCCTGAAGTCCCTACCTGGGCTCCCTGGCCAGACATGGCCAGTTGTCATTCAGCTGCCGTGTCTCCGTCTGGGCAGGTGCGCTTGGTGAAGTGACCGGCGCAGTAAGCACTGTCCCAGGGATGAGGCTAGTACCCGTGCAATGCATGAGTGGGGCAGGGCTGGGGGGGGGGGGGCACGAAGCACCACCGCAGGGGCTGGGGAGGAGGGTCTAGGAGAGTCTAGACAGGCCGGGGCTGCTGCACAAATCCGGCTTCCCAGCACCAGAAAGGGAAAGGTGCCAGGGAGGGAGGAGGGCCTAATGGTCTCAGACATGTGGCTCAGGCGTAGGCGGTGGGCAGCCTCGGGTCCCGTGCCCCTCGCCTGAAACCATGAGGCAGTTGCCGGCCACTTGGGGCCTGTGGTAGCATTTGAGGTATTTTCTCTCCTGTCCCCGCCCCTCCCACCCCCAGCTCTGTCTGAGCCGTCCATGCAGCGCTCTGAGTGTCAGCAGCTTGCAATCCGACTCGGGGTCCCGGAGGTGGTGTGGGCCCCGCAAGCCCTGCCTTGCAACTGAGTCCATGGTGTGGTGCCAGGGCTCGTAGGGGCCCGTCTTTCTTCTTTACCATCTTGTTCCGCACCTGGCACCTCTGGTCACTGCGTCCTGGCTGTCAGTCCGCGGCCTGGGCCTGAGTCCGAGTTCTGCCCAGTCCGTCCCCTCTGGGCCTGGCACACAGTAGGTGGCTGATACGGTTATGTGGCTGGATGTTCTCTCTCTGGAGCACGAAAGGGGTCCTTCTGTCTTACAAAGGGCTGTTCAGCGGGCTTTGGTGCTGATTTTGGAAGCTCTGGCCCCAGAAGAAGCAGGGAAGAGGGCCGCTGGAGCCTTTGTAGTCAGAAGGAGGGGACTGCTGTGCTGTGGGGTCTGGAGAGCTCCAGGAGCCTCCCTCCCGCTCTTGACAGCGGCTCCGAGCCTCCCGGCCTCTGAGCCCGGCGGGCCTGCTGCCAGCTCACGGCATCAGGAGTAGCGGCCGGGTGGGGGGGCCGGCGGGGAGAAGTGGCAAGCCCGGACGTCACTTGTGCTCTGGCAGCCCCCTGTCCGCGCCCCGGGTCTCTAGGTCAGGGTAGACTGTACCCAGAGGCTCGGAGGGGGAAGTGGACGTGTTCTCTCTTGGACGTTTTAAGTATGTTTAAGCACCAAAATATCCCTGTTTTTGCTAAACCATTTTTTCTGCTCCAACAACGTGTCCTCCTCTCTGGCAAGGAGCCGATCTGTCCCTTCACACCCTGGCCCTGTGATCCTGCAGCTGGGAGCACCCAGGACCGGGGTGGGGCGCTGAGCTGGGGGCCCCTGAAAGCTGTCTTTCTCCCTGTAGTGACCTTAGTGTCCTGAGCAGGCCCGCGCAGCCACCGTCCAGCTCCAACCCCTTCGAGGATGAGGACGACACGGAGAGCACCGTCAGCGAGAAGGAGGACATTAAGGCCAAAAAGTTGGTGAACGGACGCTTCCCTCTGGCTTCCAGCTCGCTCGCCGTCTCTCTTCTCTCTGTCCGGGCTCTCGCCCCCTTGGCGCTCAAAGCAATGCATGAGGCCTGCAGGAGGCGGCCCAGCTGCCGCTGGCGGACAGTCTCCGGCTTCTCGATTTCTCGGCGGGGCGGGGGGGGGGCCACCCACTAACAGTCTCTGGTTGCTTTTTCTCTGTCCTCCGTTAACCCTCGCCGAGGCCCCCCGGCACAGCACCGCGGGGGGCCTGGCTGCGCTGGGACGCTGAGTGGCGGTGCTCCTGCGGAAGGGGGCCCCCGCCCAGCCCCGTGCTCAGGCCCCCCCCCCGGGGCTACCCTTTCTTGCAGCGTGAGCAGCTACGAGAAGACCCAGAGCTACCCCACCGACTGGTCAGATGATGAGTCTAACAACCCGTTCTCCTCCACGGACGCCAATGGGGACTCAAACCCATTTGACGAGGATGCCACCTCGGGGACAGAAGTGCGGGTCCGGGCCCTTTATGACTATGAAGGGCAGGAGCATGATGAGCTGAGCTTCAAGGCGGGTAGGTGGGCTCCCTGGCTGGCATCTGGGGCGAATGCTCCCAACCTGCTGGGGGGAAGGTTTGGGTTTTTTTTTTCTGTTTTAAAGTCTGGAAAATTCCTGCTAGTTCCATTTGTGGGTTCTCCTCCCACATTTCAAAAGCAACAGATGCTCCGTGCCAAATCTTAGAAGGCATGAGGTGCCCTGGTGCTTTTGCCCAAGGTGCCACCCCTAACAGGACTGAGGGCTGGGCACAGCAGGGCGCTGGGGCGGGAGATGCCGATCGCCGGCACCAGCCAGGTTTCCCAGGTGCTCTCTGGAAGCAGCCAGCCTTGCAGGTCCCCAAGGGAAGGCTTTCTCCAGAGACGCCCAGCTGGCAGAGGGGCCCTTGGTGAGTCACCTTGCCCAGACCCCAGAATAGCACTGGGCATGCCCCTGGGCCACTGGAGCCTCGTGTTAGGGCCGTGCCTTTTGAACTTCCTCCCTGTAGGCACATTGTGTACATTCTACCACCAGCACACCTTTGTTGCCAGTACTCAGAACTTCTGTTTTACAGAACACTCTGGACCCAGATTATGGGAGCTCTGTACACACAGATTTTCTAGCCTTTGTCTTTTTTTTTTTTTTTTTCTTTTTTTAAACGCTGGTTGCAGTTTGCCAAAATGAGTTTCAACCTTCAGTTTGAAAACACTCCCAGAGCCTGTCAGAGGAAGCTCAAGTGGCCTGGTGCCAAAGTGGGCCCACAGAGAGCCAAGTTCTTTCCTTCTGCCTTGGCCCCTCCTCGAAGTCACCCCAGATCCACTATCCACCCCTCAAAGCAGGAGGCCTGGCCAGAACTCAGCCAGTGTGGGCTGAAAGTGTGCTCCCCCACTCAGGCCACGCCTCTGGGCAGACCCCCGTGTCTGTCTGGCTGCGGGGCAGATGGCCCCAGATCCTCAAGCCCAGGCTTGGTCACCAGGTGTCCCTGGCCGGTTATAGAAAGTTCTTATGCATTTCTTATGTACCTGCGCACATCTTTGTCCAGTTTTCTGACCTCTCGGGGTTATTTGCCCCCTTCTTTGTCTGTTGATTTATTCATTGTACTTTCTAATTCTTGCTCTGTCTCACCTGTTGGATTTGTTAGCAATTTTATGGACATAAGTGTCTCCTTCTGCTCTGAGTGGATTTTTTTTTTTTTAAAGATTTTATTTATTTATTTGACAGAGAGATAGCACAAGTAGGCAGAGCGGCAGGCAGAGGGGGAGGGAGAAGCAGGCTTCCCGCAGAGCAGGACCCCGGGATCATGATCCGAGCCGAAGGCAGCCGCTTAACCGACTGAGCTGCCCAGGCGCTCCGCTCTGAGTGAATTATTAAAGGCAGTCTGACTGAAACCAGTGTTTTAAATCCCCAGCTCACATTTACAGCCAGAAAGCTCCCTTCTTCACTCTGTTTTGCCCGTTACCCTTACTGTGCCCTTCGCCCCGGCTGGCACTGCTTCCTTCTCCCGTAGCTCTGGTACCCTCCACCCCTCTGGGTCTCAGGCACCTGCGGGGCCCTTTCCAGCCCACGTGAGCATCACAGAGCTGGTCTCGCCGCACACCTGCAAGCCTGGCTGTGTGCAAGGGCGGGATGAGAGTTGTCCGGGGGCCCACAGGGCGGGCAGGAAGGACAGGAGAAGTTGGAGCTTCCCCCCCCCCTTTTTTTTTTAAGATTTTATTTATTTGACAGAGAGGGAGAGAGCACACAAGCAGGGGAAGCAGCAGAGGGAGAGGGAGAAGCAGGCCCCTCTGAGCAGGGAGCCCGACGTGGGGCTCAACCCCAGGACCCTGAGATCATGACCTGAGCCGAAGGCAGACGCCTAACTGACTGAGCCACCCAGGCACCCCTGAGCTTTACCCCTCTTGGCGCTCACTGCTCCCCCCCCCCCCCCCCCCCCCCCCCCCCGCCGTGTTGGCTGCTGATGTTGCTGAGTTAGATTTGCGTGGGACTGGTGCTGCCGGAGTGGCCCAGTGGCAGGAGGAGAAGCCATCCCTCACATGGGACTGATGGCAGCTCTCCTAACTGGCAGCTCACTGCATGCTGGGCACCCCCCGGCTCCTTCCCCCTTCTCCAACACTGAGTCCTCCCAGCACCCGGTCTGCAGCGGAGGAAACCAGGCCCCAGGGCAGGGCGCCTTGCCCACAAGCCCCAGCCCTGCGAACCGGTCCCACAGGCACCTTCATCACTATCACCGCTACACGAAGCGGAGACAGGGAAATGCCGAAGCAGGGCATAATTGCCTGGGGAAGAAAGTGCAGCTAAGCCTGCAAAGGGAACCCAAGAAATACAAAGCTTCAAGCTGAACAAAAGGCAAAAGCTGTCCTGGGGCTAAGTCTTCCACCCCTTCCCTGCTCCTGAGAGGGCCTGAGCTACGGGGTTCCCACAGTGCCCCTGCAGGCGGTCCCGGGCCAGAGCCCCAGAGCGCTGGAGTGCTCTGTCCGCTCCAAGCGGGAGACGCCGGACCCGGACCTTCCAACACTGCGGACCTGACCACACCTTTGGTCTCCGTCCCCCTGTCTGTCTCCTTGAAGGACCAGGGCTCCATCTGTCCCTCCTCATCAGGGTTCCTTCTCCACTACCCGGGCCCGGTCTGAAGTAGGGGTTCCTTCATGTCTGAACAGACGAGATGAGTCAAACCACAGTAACACACAGAGCCATGGGGAGATTCCAGAACTCTGCTGATGGCTTCCGTCTCATGGTGTTGAGAGGGGCTGATTTCTTTAAGTCAGAAGATAAATGCCCTGAGCTGGGGTTCCTGCCCCTCCCACAGGCTACTCTGGACACAGATTAAATGAACACACCCGGTCAGCAGTTTTATGGACATAAATGCAGGACTGAGGTCTGGGCACAGCAAAGCAATAAGTGCTGGAGGAGAGAGATCTAAGATCAAGCAGGAAGGAGGGGGACAGCAGGAGAGGGCGGTGACGGGGGAGGCATGGGCCCTCTGAAAGCACTCCTCTGACCTGGCCTGGAACAGTCGGGAAGGACAGGGCCTGTGGCATTGAATTCTGCAGTCTCTGTGGGAGCTGCTTGCTTTAGGGTCCTTGCGTGCGATGGCGGTCTTGAGACCGCTCGGGGGCTCCTATGGCTGGCTAAAAGAGCAGCTAAAATGCAACTTAGTAGAGAAATAACCAGATCTGGCCCAAGAGAATGCCTGCCCCTCCCACCCAACTTAGAGACCCTCTGTGGGCCAGGGGTGGGGGCCAAGCCGCCAGGGCACTGTGACCGGGTGCTGGGTGGTCCGTGTGTCTCCCGCCTGCTCACCAGGACTGCTTGCTGCTTGTCTTGAAGGGGAGGAGCTGACCAAGCTAGAAGACGAGGATGAGCAGGGCTGGTGCAAGGGGCGCTTGGACAGCGGGCAGGTCGGCCTGTACCCAGCCAACTACGTCGAGGCGATCCAGTGACGGGCCAGCCGGCTGGCGGGCGGAGAGCGGAGGCAGGGGTCCCAGGAGCTGCGTTGGCCGTCGGCCCTGGACAGCGGCACCCCGGCGGCAGTCGGCTGGGTGAGCGTCCGCTCCTTTTCCTGCAACACATGCTGGCTCCGTTGCTCTTGGCTTCATGGTGTCTCTCCGAGGCAGACGAGCTGGTCGTTTCATCCGGGACTCAGCACCTCTCCGCACACTGTGCAGACAGAGAGGTCTGAGCGCCGGAAGACAGTACGACAGGACTCGCCCCACACCCCCATCCCGCTCACTGTGCGTGTCGGCTTATCATGGATCTGTCTGTTCTTGACCTTGTCTTTCCTCCTCTCCTCTGAAGCAATGGTGGGTTCCACTGATTCTTGTTCTGCTGATTACTTCCTCTGATGCGTCGCATCATCCGCAACTTAAATGAACAAACTTACATGCTATTTTCTGAGCGAAGACGTTGAGGTTTTTAATTTAAAGGCTGTGTACAGTTATACTTTTTTATATACCTGTTCTTCCATTCATTTATACTTAACTTATGGCACAGATTGATATACACCGGTCTTGAGGAAATCTCGAGAGCCGCGGTTCCCTGAGACAGGCAGTGCTTGAGGCCCGAGAGGGTGGTGGAAAGGTGGGGACGCGTCCGGCTGGATTTCTGTTGTGAATGCCCTGTGCGTTTGGGGCATCTGCCATGAGTTCTGGAAATAACCGTACGTAGTACTCCGAATGTCCCCGTATTTAAAAACTATTTTCATTCTATTTGTGTTTAAAACTTTATTCTTGCAGATTAACAATTTTATCAGTGATTTGAAAGATTACAGACTAAGAAGACTAACTTCTCAAGCACACGCATCTGTAGATTAAGATGCTTTCTGTTAGACTGTCATGTCTTGGTGTATATCTGTATATATTATTTGATATTCAGAGAATCTAAAGAGTTCGTCTACTGTTCTGGTGAGATTTAACGGCTTTTGACAGTGGGTTTAATTTGTAAACTGCTTGAAGACTGTGACATTTGGGCACAGGCCTGGCTGGCCGGCTGGGCCTCCTCTGGGCTCTGGGCGTGGACCTGGGCCTCTCTGGAGTGGAGACAGCTGGGGGGAAGCCTGTCCTCGCTGGACAGCTGTGGGTCCACCCTCCCACCAGCCTTAGTCCTTTCCGTAGCACAACACTGTAAAACCTCCCATGTCTTTCCAGCAGCTGCAGATTCCAGCCCTCCCAGTCCCTCGCGAGCACACGAAAGCTGGGTCTCACCCCAGAGCACCGGGGTCTCTGAGCAGCCTTAGTCATCGGGAGCAGATGTGCTGGGGCAGGAACTACACTGTAATCACAGGGCGGGGGAGGGAGGGAGGGCGGGAAAACCTTTATTTTGTGTAACTCAGACACCGGTGAAATGGGCACCGCCATCACAAGCTATGCATTTTCTCAATGTTTCCAGTGAGCTTGATGTCTTGCTTGGAAAGTGGATGTGCGTCTGTGTTCGTCATGAAAACTTACCAGCAGAAATCCTCATTCCTTTGCTACAGATTTACCAAAAATTGTCAAGTCTTTTCAGTTAGGAGTTTCTTTAAATGTATAGTATTTTAGAAAAAAAAATCAATAAACAGTTGATCTCATGAGTGTCACTGTCCCCGAGCTGTGCGTCCCTCACGCTCACATCCGCCGGTGGCCATGTCTCCATCGGCATCTTCCAGCTCTGGAGCTGGGCGAGATCCCGGGCGCACTACCACTGCCTGAAGGGCCCTGCGCCCTGCCAGTCCAGAGGTTGGGGATGTGAGGCACCTGAGCCCCTCCAGAGGCCCCTCTCCCCGAAACCTGCTACTCTGTGGCCCGGGCTGCCCTGGTGTAGATGCTGCCGCCTCCTTCCCTCTCCGAGACCCAAACAGCAGGACCCAGATGGGAGACCATCACCTGGGCTTCTTCGCACACATTGCCTGAGCGAACACATTCCCTGAGCGCGTGCTGTGCGCCGGGCCCTGTGCTCTGAGGGTATCTGCAAATAGCGTGCCTGGGGGGCTCAGCGGGTTGTCTGCCTTCGGCTCAGGTCATGATCCCTGCCTCAGGTCATGATCCCTGCGAGTCTGCTTGTCCCTCTCCCCCTGCCCCTCCCCCCAGCTTGTGCACTCCCTCCCTCCCTCCCTCTTGCTCTCTCTCTCGCTCGAATAAAATCTTTTAGAAGAAAAAAAAGCATGCCCATTTCCAGACGTCCCTGTGTGTCGGCCGAGTCTCCCTATTCCATTTTACAGAGAAGGACACGGAGGCTCCAAGAGCCATAACCCCCCCCCCCCCAAGGAGTCCCTGCTGGTCTGTGGCACTAAAATCCCTGGGGGATCCTCCCCCCTCGTTGGGGTGACCTGGGTTGAAAGAAGGCCAGGACAAGGCAAGAAGGGAGAGAAGCGAGGGCTGCCGCAGCTGACACGCCGGACCCTGGCAAGGCCCGTCCGGACAGGTGCCGCTCCTGGGCCGCGGGCCCTCGGGGGAGCCAGGAGGGGCGAGGTGGGCAGCTGCCACCGCAGCACTGCTCTGCCGGGCTCAGGAATGGCGGAGAAGAACCTTGTTATCTGATGGGTGATGGGGCCCCTGCTCCCCACTGCAGAGGAGTTGGAGACCATCGGAGCTGCCCACTGCCCAGGGTGGACACGGCCCAGGCTGCCACAGACACAAGGGAGGACGGCGGAGGGGACGGGCCGGCAGGCTCCTGGTTCGCACGGCCTGAGCTGGGCCGGCCAGTCCTGGGCACCTGGGGAGCTCCCGTACTGTCATGCCCGCTGTGGGGGAGGCTGGAGTCACCCCGCTTTGCAGAAGACGACACAGAAGGTCTGCGAGCTCAAGTTCCACAGCCTGCCCAAGGTCCCATGACAGACCTGCAGGATTCTTGAGGGCAAGCCCTTCCTCGCTCCCCTTCACTGGCAGATAAAGAGGGGGGTGGGGGGTGGTGAGCAGGAGGAACCCTCCAAAGCCAGGATGAAACCACCTCTGCTCAGGGGGGGCCCTTCTCAGCCTGTCATCTCAGAGCTCCTGCAGGAAGTCCTGAAGGGCCCTCACTGCTCACCTGCCCTCTCCCGTCCTGGCCCTCAGGGGCGAGCTCCGGAACCCTAACTCACCCTTCAGCTTCCCCAGGCAAGAGTGGTGCCTGTCTTCCTGGTTGGAGGGTTAGAGGCAGGTGTGCAGGGCCCCAGGCACCCAGGAGGCGGTAACTGTTAACCGTGGTGATAAGTGATGACCCCTCCTCCTGGTACCCAGCCAGAAGCTTCTGGCATTCTTGGCTGCCCCTCCCACACCCTCCACGCTGGGCCACCAAATTCTCTTTGTCCCTCTGTCCTTCCCTTCCCCAGAGCCACTGCCTTCGGGCCAAGCTGCTCCTTCCCCCCCAATCACTGCTATGTGGGCACCCCCTGCCCGGGGGCCCGGGGCCGTGGGCGGCCTGCCCAGTCCCTTCTCAGCAGAGGGTAGGAGGGGGTATTTCATCTTCCTGTCCGAGCCCCCAGGGCATGCCCAGAGGGCAAGCAAGCTCCGGTGAGTGACCCAGGCAGAGGTCTGGCTCTGCAGCAGCTTGAGCTAAAACTCCAGGTTTTCTGAGTTCCCTGAGAGAGGACAGAGCAAGCCTCTGTCCTGGGCTTCACTGCAGGCCCTTCACCACCTAAGCTCGTGAAAGGCCTCTCCCTGTGCCTGGACTGGTGTTTGCTGGGTGACTGGTGGGTTTGGGCTCTGCCAAGGCCTCGGGTACTAGCGGCAGACATAGAGGGGACCACTTACAATCCATCAGAATGGGGATGGGGGAGGTTGAGAAGGGCCCCCGTGTGCCACTTGACCCACCCCCTCCTTGTTCATGGGGAAACAGGCCCAGTGAGGAGCAGGAGCGACATGCCCATGGTCACAGAGTGAGTGGTTGGGGGAGCTGAGCATGGCCTGACCCTGAGTAGCCCTTCCTGGCAGGGAATCAGCTGGCTCTCTCCCTGGGTCATACTCATTCACGGTTAATTAATTAATTAACTTATTAAGATTCTATTTAACAGAGAGAGATATAGTGAGAGAGGGAACACAAGCAGGGGGCAGCGGGAGAGGGAGAAGCAGGCTTCCCACTGAGCAGGGAGCCTGATGCTGGGCTCGATCCCAGGACCCTGGGATCATGACCTGAGCCAAAGGCAGACGCTTAACGACTGAGCCACCCAGGCGTCCCTCACTGTGCATTTATTGAGCACCTACTGTATGCAAGACTAGGTGGTGACAGGAGAAAAACGAAGAAGGACTCAAGTTTGCCTTTGGGGAACTCCAGAAACTCAGGGAGGGTCCAAGTCACTTGGACACCAGGGAGGAGGGGGCAGGATGGTCCCCTGAGAGTGTGCCTAGTGGATTCTGGAGGCCCCCCTACAAGTCTCAGGGAATTAGGACAAACAGGGCCCCCAACCCAGCTCCAAGGCCCTTGGGGGCGCAGTACTATGGGTCCTTGAGCTGTTCCCCCTCCCCCCCCCCGCCACTTCCAGTGGGAAGCATCCCTGGCTGGCGAGAGGTCAGAGTGGACTACAGACTGGCTGGGGAGGACCCCTACCCCTGTGTGACCCGAAGCCCAAGCAAGTGCCTGAGCCTCACTGCATGAAATGGGGATGACCTTGGGGGTGTCCAGAGCGGGACACCTTGCTGGGCAGGCGCCTTGCCTCGGCATCCCTTCCCTCAGACACCTGCAGGAGGTGCATGCCCCCCTCCGGACTCTTTTCCCTTCGAAGGGCCAGGCAGTGACCTCTGGACTGGGCCTCTGTGGTCTCTGTGGTGGGAGTGAGCAGCAGGGCCCAGGCCCCAGCACCCAGTGGACACATGTGGGCCACTGTGGAGAGACCTGGGGCTGGGATCGAGGCGCTCCACTGCCCCAGAAAGGACAGACCCAGACCAAGCCGAATCTGGCAGGCCTCTCACTGAGGTACAAGGTTATCCTACACCAGGTGGGGCCCCTGCCAAGCACAGAGTCAGAGGAACCAGGCTGACCCCAGCATTGTCAGGGGGTAGGCAGTTTCTCAGCCCACAGTTTCCAAGCAGCCTTGGGCTTCACATTTATCAGCCACATGCCAGGTCCCGTGCTGAGCTCCTTTCTCTGCAAAGAGTCATATAACCCTCCTCATTATGTATGAAAGCCATTTTGCAGATGAGGAAACAAATCAGAGAGGTGGAGTGACTTGTGTGAGGCCGTACAGCAAGTTAGGGGCAGAGCTGGCGTTTCAATTCCAGGGCCTAACTCCAAAAAGCAGGTGTAATTGTACTCCTGGAGGCCTTGTTACAACCTAGCTCGCTGGACCACATTCTAGAGCTTCTGAGTCACGAGGTTGGGGATGAGGTCCAAAGTTGGCATATCTAACAAGTCCCAGGTGAGGCTGACCCAGGGCCACACTTTGAGAATCACTGGTCCAAATAGCAAGAACGGGCTGCCCAAAGTACCAGCAATTCCA